CCCGGCTTCTCCCGCTCCCAGCCGCCACGCACCCGCGGGGCGCTCCGGGGCTGGCCGGTGGAGAAGCCGGTCCAGATGTGCGGAGAAGGGCCCCAGGCTCCGAGGCCAGCTCCGCAGCGCCTGCGGGCTCCGGATGGGAGGCTGTGGCTGGGCTGGGGTCACAGGGATGCCTGTGGCCTGAGAAGTCCTCCAGTGAGCCCGCGCTGTCCGGGGCTGAGGGGCGTCAGCTCAGTGAACACCCCCCCCCTCAAGAAATGGGACACACGCCTGGTGTGACCTGTGGGAACGAGGTACTAGGGACACCCTGCAGCCCCCTGAAGGCATCTGTCTCGCGCTGGGGAGATAACTTCCTGCCTGCCCCACCCCAAGGAGGGCTCACCCTGAGGACATGCTGGCAGGTCTGTGCCCACCCAGCGTCGCTCTGCACAGGACGAAAGCAAAGAAAGGGCTGGGAGATCCCGCTGGGGGCGGCAGGGCTCCTTCCCCCGCGCAGGGCCCGAGGCACAGGGTGGCACCAGCACCTCTGCGTAAGTCCGCCTCGGGCCAATGCTGCACCCTGCTTCTCTTTCAGAAAACACTAGAAATTTACTCTGTGGAGCTCAGTGGAACTAAAGAGATCGAGAAAACAGACCATGGGAACGACAGGGAGAGGTACAGGGGCCTGAAGAACTGCCTGGGACTCAGAAAGAACCAGCGGAAGGAGGAGCTGAAGCAAGAACTGGATCTGGTCAGTAGCCTTAGGCCAGAGGGGTCCCCCCTTCCCCGGGAGCTCGCCCCTGCAGCCTACCTCTTACAAAAGAAAGTCAGTCTCGAGAATTTGAAATCCCCTGGAGATTCGTTTCCTTGTTTAAAAAAAACTGGTGTGATGGTATCTGCCCGGATTCCTGCGTTCTGGCTGGAGGCAGGCCAGGGTAGAACTCGGGCGCGAGCGTCTGATCCCAGGCCCCACGGGCTGGCCCGATTTCTCTGCTGCCCACCGCTTCGGTGAGATGTAAATAACCACTTCCCAGTTTCTAGTCGATAAGTGTAACTGTCCTCCCTGCAAGGAGGAAAACCAAAGCCGCTAGAAAAGAATAGTTTCGGTGGCGAGAACCTTGGACTAGGATTCAGATGACCTTAGGCTCAGTCAAGTCCCACTTCTCCACGACTGAGCTGTAACAGGGAACAAATGACCCGGCTCCAGGCTCCACCGAAGCTCCATTTCCTTTATGTAAAATAGGAAGAATGCTTTGCGGGGGTCGGTGAGGGGGAAATGACATGAGTACTTTGGGAGTGCAATAGTATGGTTATGGAGGAACTCTGGACCTGCCTTGGATCTGAAATGTGACAGATTTCATCTCAGGAATGCCAAAGGGGAAACTTCCACACCAAGTCTGAGATTTTGCTAGCTTGCCGGTGAAGTCCATTGCAGACGTAAAAGCTCTATGATTGTTGAGCTGGACTGATGAGGCCAGCTTATCTGGACTAGAGAGCCAGTAGTTAAATATTCAGGAACTTGGCAAGCTGACTAACATCGTGTTAGCACCTTGAAATTTGGCTCTGATGAGAAATCACCAAATGCTACAAATCACAGTTTTTTTGTTTATCTTTCCTGGAGAGATCACTAACATACACACCAGTGGGCATTCATCCATTTATGTTCTGATAGACATTTAAGAACATAGCCCTGAAATTGGACTAACCTGAATTCAAATCCCAGTGTATCTGAAGTTCAGTTTCCTGTAACGAAAAATAGGAAGTAAGTGATGCCTATCTCCTAGGGTTGTTAAGAGGATTAAATGAGATAAAGCAGGGAAAAGACAGCGTGGCACCAGACAATAAACAGTTATTATTTCCTATGTATCTTTAGCATTTGAGATTGAAGACATATCTGTTCTTCCTTGACACTGCCATTTACACCATGACTATATATTCATTTTCTCATATGCCTGTTGATTGTGATGGCAATCTCCCTTCTTTGAGCACTTTGTGAGGATGTATAATATAGAAATATAATTTCCATAGTATTAGCCAAAGTGTTCCCTTGCTTCCTTGCTGAGAAAGGAACATCTTTCTTTCCCTCTTTTTCTCAACCTTCTCACAAGAGTACTGTAACTTGAGACAGCGTATTTGCATGCTTTTGCATCCTGTCTGCTTGGTGAATTACAGCCTTGATGACAACTAATGAACTCCTGGCATCTACAGGCTGGCAATGACCCCAGCCAGAGCTGCAGGGTGCTGCCCTGGGCTATTCCATTGCTGGCTAGCAGAGGGCGTCCCAGGTACCCACCACCACCTCTCCTGCCCTTCTCCCAGGCTCTCATCCTGAAGCCCAGGCTGAAGGGACTGGAAAGGTGCTTGCCTCAGCCCAAACGATGCAAAGGATGGATGTAATCATCCTTCAGTTGTATCTGCTGGGAACTTAGCATACCGTGCTGTCCTCTGCGCAGAACTCTGCCCTAACCGTCTGAATCCCCAGCAACATTGCATCCAGTTGATATTGATTGGATGAATGAATGAGCAAAACTGAATCTGGCTAAGAGGGCTAGACACAAAATAATAATAACTTTTCTCTTACTGGAAGGCCTCATCTCTTAATGCAACATGGGACTTTTTTTACATATAAGAGTACTTCAGAAAGTTTGTGGAAAAACGGAATTAAAGCAATACTAATCTTTCCATGAACTTTTTTGAAGACCCCTCGTATACTAAAGAAAATAGATGGTTATGGTAGCATTCACAGTGTAAATCTTTGTTTCAGACCGTCAGGGCTTAAAGAATCCTGAGTGCTGCATTTTCTCAGAGAGGTGGGAAAAAACTTGGCCCTGGGTTTTCTGCTACAGGAAGAGGCTTCTAGTCCTTTAGCCCAGTGGTTCCCAAAGGGAGAGGAGGTTAGGATTCTCCCCACCCGAGGGAACATTTGGCAATGTCTGGAAACATTTTGGTTATCACAACTCAGGGGAGGGTGCTGGTGGCACCTAGTGGGTGGAGGCCCCACAACAAAGAATCCTTGCCCAAAAAGTCAGTGGCACCAGGTGGAGGAACCTGCTTTAGTCTAATGATTCTGTGGCAAAATTAGCAAGTGTGGTTGTTTTGTTTGGTTTGGTTTGGTGGCTGGCAGGTAAGGGGATCCAAACCCTTGACCTCGGTTATTCGGCAGGTGTTTAATCTGCGGGGCTTCTTTCACCAGTGAACCACCTGAGTTTCGTGTCTTGAGTGAGGGAGGGTAGTAGGGCGGGCAGCTGTCCAAGCACTGTACATGGGTCTGTTTCGTTTTGGTTGTCACCCCCAGCCAGTACCATAATTCAGGTCTGGGTGAAGTTCCAGCTCGCTAGTGCCTGGAAGACACATACACTAGGACTGGAGTGTGCTGGAAGCGACATGTTGCTTTGCTTATGAGACCCACAGACAGCTGTGATGTAAATGGCAGGTGAAGTCAGCCCTCTTCAGGGAGGCTCTCTACGCAGCACAGAGGCACCAGGGCTTTTCTCTCCTCCCAACTTTCATGGCTGGTCACAGCTTGGGGTTTGAGTCTTTTGGAGTTTGTCATCTCTCACAGAGTGACAGAGACATAAAAGATGACTCAGAGCCCATGTATTCAGAGCAATGAGAAGCCCGAAGGGACTGCACCAGGGAGAACTCCTTCAAGAGATGAGCACCCAGGCACAGCCCCGAGTCAGGTTTTGTTTCAGTTTTTCTTGTAAAGACAAAGTTACAGAAGAAAAACAGGTGGTTAATCATAGTGAAAACATAAACAAACTGGCTATGTGACAATCTTCATTAAGCAGTGTAGTTCAAAATAGTACAAGCAGTTTACCATCAAAAGGAGTCATAAAACTAAGCTATGTGACATACAAAAGGAAGCAATGAGATAATCACCATAGCACTTAGCTCCCCAGGGAACTCAAAGAAACAGTTTAGGGCAAGATGTGGAACATCCCCCAAGCACTAACTAGCAGAATATCCTTGAAGCTTTTAGCTCGCGTACTTTCCCATCATTTAGGTTTAGCTGCACCAAGGGCAGCTACCCGCAGAGCAATCACTCTTTGCTGTGCTTCAGTCCTCTTACCTACATCAAAGGCCTGTGAACGTTTTCTGGTCTTAATCTTACCATTTCTATGTGTTTTCCTAAAGGGTTAGCCTTTGGCCCCCTAAGCTAGAGGCTCTGGTTTCCTAAACTACAGGCTTTGTCTTAAACTAAGGACTTTGGTCCTTAGAAGGATTTTGGTCCTTCTACACTACAGGCTAAACTAAGGACTTCAGTCCTCTACACTGCAGGACTTTGGTCCTTCTATGCTAGTCTTTGGCCCTGTGAAATGCATGTGTTTTATTTCTATCTCCTTAATGTTAATATCCTCCACAGGAATTATCTAATTCATTCTGTTCTTCTTCCTTTCATGGACTTCAGGATGACCACAAACTCAGCATTAAGGAATTGGAAAAGAAATATGGTACAGACATCATTACGGTAAGTCATCAGGGAACTGGGGGTCGGGAAGAGAAGCCTCCCGACTATCCAAAGGAGAGGGCTGTGTGCTCAGGGTGTGTGGAGAAGTAGAGGGCACCTTATGATGAATGACCTACAGCAGAACCTTTGAAACTGCAATTATCCGCATGCCTGGGTGGAGAGAGAGCTGGTTGACCCCCAGGGGCTGGTGTGCCTGGACCAAGGCCCCAGCAGAGCCCCTTCACTGAGCTGTGCACTTGGTCGTAGATAGTTCTTTTGACTGTGACTGCAGGACAGCTGTGGTATCTCCAGAAAGGCACAGATACTTCTTTGTGGTCATGGCCAGAGGTTACTTCCAATCCCTGTCCCCAGGAAGTATAATGGTGCACGGAGCCCTTCTCAGCAGAGAATGGGGGAAGTCGGTGTTAGAAGGTGGGGGTCCTCTTGGAGCCCTGCTTGTCCTCCTCTGAGAGGGAACCATGGCTCCAGGGCACACTGGTGTTCTCGGGCATCTCGCAAATTCTCCCCCCACGGAAGTACTGCTTCCTTCTGTGAATTCAAATCCAAAGTTTCAGTGCCTTGACATTGGGAGATCTGGGTACTGAATGCATGTCTGTTCGGAGTCAACAAAAATACCTCCTATGCGGTTCACACTGGACTGGCAGTAGGCAGGACAGGTGACCCTGACCTTAAGGAAGAAGCAGCGGGGTGGGGAGGCGGGTCTGTGGGGAAGTATCATAACATCCACTCCATCCTGACGTGCTGTGAAATGACGAATTCTGACCAGAGGGACCAGAGCAGGCTCCTGGGACGCTGCAGTGTTTGAACTGGGACTCGGGAGGGTGATTCACGTTTAAGTCAGCTGAGTACCCTGGGACCAGAGAGGCCAGAGTGGGTTTGGACAGCAATCTGGGCTTGCTGAGAGCTAGTATGTGTGGAAAGGGGGAGGCAAGGAAGAAAGGAGCTGGGGAAGATCACTGGATGGGACTGTCAAGTGCTTTCCTATTGAACTAAGAGACGGGGGCTATATTACTTGTATTAGGGGCACAATTTTTAAACAGGGAAGTGACTTGATGAGATTCTTTTTCAAAAGGCAGCTCTGGTAGGGCTGGCTGGTTAGCTGAGTTGGTTAGAGCATGGTGTTGATAATACCATGGTCCAGGGTTCGATCTCTGCACCGGCGAGCCCCTCCCCACCCACCACCAAAAGGCAGCTCTGGTATAAGATATATATTTTTTTTAAGTAGGAGATGGAAGGGTCTAGAAGAATGAATGATAAGCCGGGACTGTGAAATGAGGATCCAAGACAGGGCAGCCCAGTAAGACAGGAAGGAAAGGGACAGATTAGAGGGATGTTTCAGAGAAGTAACTGACTCATGGGGTTTTTTGAATGACTCCCTCATCCCATTAGCCGAGTTGGAAAGGCAGGAGGAGATGTGGTCGGGTGACGGACAGGGCGAGGGGTGGAGGTGAGAGGTTAGAGAAGGCAGCAGGGAGGAGACGACGATGAATTTCATTTTGACTTATGCTATTAGAAACGTCTCCGGAGCATCCACATGGAAATGCTCTGCGGTAACTGAGCAAGATGAGCCCAGGGATCTGGAAGAGGAATGGCAGGTGGAGGGTGATGGTCAGGTTGGTGGCTCTGAATCCAGTTATTCAATGAATATTTGAGTCACTGCTACGGAAAAAGTATGAGACCCTAGAGAAGACACAAAAATGACCAAGATAGAGTCTTTGCCTTTAAGTAGCTTACAGCATAATTAGGGAGCTCTGTGTGCCTCGAATTCCATGCCTGAGAATGAGGGTAGGATTATTTTGAAGAATAAATGAGTACAGTTATCCCCCCTTATCCAAGGTTTCACTTTCAGTTACCTGTGGTCAACTGCAGTCTGAAAATATTAAGATATTTTGATGGAGAGAGAGCACATTCACATAAGTTTTATTACGGTATATTGTTACAGTTGTTCCATTATAATTTATTTATTTATTTATTTTTATTTATTTTATTTTTTTGTCTTTTTCCGTGTCCGGCAACGGATCGCAACCCTCAGTGTTGCCCCTGTACCGGACCGGGGACCGGCAACGGGATTGCAACCCTCGGTGTTACCCCCGCGCCTCGCTCAGCCAGTGAGCGGGAACCGGTCTGGTACCGGACCGGGGACCGGCAACGGGATTGCAACCCTCGGTGTTACCCCCGCGCCTCGCTCAGCCAGTGAGCGGGAACCGGTCTGTATGTGGGATCCGAACCCTCGGGCGGGAGCGCCGCCGCGCTTCCCAAGTGGCGCACTTATCCAGTGCGCCACCGGGCCGGCCCCGTTCCATTATAATTTATAAGTTGAACTTTATCATAGGTATGTGTGGATAGGAAATAACCATCGGGTTCGCTACGCCCTGTGGTCTCAGGCAGCCACTGGGGGCCTGGCACTGCATGCCCGTGGGTAGGGGCCTGCTGTAAGTGTGCGGAGAACAGACCCTGCCTGCTGACACTAAGCAGAAAATATTCTCTCAGGAAAGGTGGGCACTCGGGGGGATGTGGCATCGTCCCCTTTCCCCAGGACCTTCTTGGGCACAGGCACATCGATGCCTAATGGCAACCTGCAGAAATATGAAGCCCAGCCCTGAGGGAGGAGAATTATCTGATTCCTATTTGTGTGTGTTTGTGTGTTTGTTTTGCTTGGCTTTCTCAGGGTCTCTCCAGCACCAGAGCCGCTGAGCTGCTGGCTCGGGATGGACCCAACGCCCTCACCCCCCCCAAGCAGACGCCAGAGATGATCAAGTTCCTCAAGCAGATGGTGGGGGGGTTCTCTATCCTTCTGTGGGTAGGAGCCGTCCTGTGCTGGATCGCATTTGGGATTCAGTACACCAGCAATAGATCCTCTTCCCTGGACAGTGTAAGGCTCTGGGCTGTCTCCTTCCTGGTGTTGCTTAGTTAGTAGCAGGGAAAACAGTCATCCCAAGAGGGCTTTTGTGGGCACAGTGCTGGGCTGGATGCAGGACTCCACCACTGATCAGCCACTGCGTGGGTGTGGGAAAGACAGTAGTTTTCCCAGCTGTAAAACAAATGATATCTGACTTTGTGACTTCTCAGAGGCAGCATGAGCATGAATTTTAAAAAAGAGAGAGAAAACACCTTGAGTTCCTAAGGGAAAAAAGTCTACATCCATGTGAAGAATTTGGGGGAACTCTCTCCCCAGAGCTAACCTCTCCCTTTAACATGGAGAGCATCTCTGCCTGCTGAGAACTGGGTAGCAAACCACAGGCTGGATTGGCCTACATGGTGCTCAGAGAAAGAAGGCAGATGCAAAGGCCATGTGCTGTGTGGTTTCACTGATATGAAATGTCCAGAGTAGGCACACCCGTGGACCCAGGAAGCAGCGCCAGGGCTGGGGGTGGTGGGGATGGTGCAGACGGCGGGGGGGATGGCAGAGGGGGCACAAGGGCTCTCACTGGCATGATGGAAATGTTCAAAAGCTGGATTGTGATGATGGTTGCCCAGCTCTGTAAGTTTACAAAAAATCAGTGAGCTGTACACCTTAAATGGGTAAATTCTATGGCCTGTCAATGACACCAGGACATGACTGCCAGTGTCTCACCTTCCCACGGAGAGTGCTAGCCACAGGACCTGGCTCATTCCTGATGCCTGCTTTTCTGACTGACGCCTCTCCTCCTCACCCAGTTGTACTTGGGCTGCGTACTTGTCCTGGTTGTTATTCTCACGGGGATCTTTGCTTACTACCAAGAGGCGAAAAGCACCAACATCATGTCCAGCTTCAGTAAGATGATCCCGCAGGTGAGTGGCAGCCACGCTCCTCTGGTCTCTGCATGATTCGGGGTGAGGAAGTGTCAGATGAGATGAGCGCAGGCCTTGGAGGCAGGGTCCCTGCTCAAGCCCAGGCCATCCCTCACTGTCTGAGAAATCTTGTGCAAGTCACCTCATCTCTCTGAACCCCAGTTTTTCACAAGGTTCTGAGATGATCAAATGAGCTGTGATCCAGGAAAAGGCCCAGTCAAGAGTCAAGCAGAGCAGAAGTGTCAGTCATTGCACAGCATCTTCCATCGCCGCTCTTAGCATTCAGGGCCATCTGGACAGTCACTCAGGTGGTTCGTGCCTGTTCTATCACTGGCAGCCCAGGAGCTGCCCATGATTCTCTATCTGTGGCCGCTTTTGCTCCCATTCCCTAGCCCCAGTGCATGTGGCCCCCAAATGCTCTCAGCAGGGAGACCCAGAGCGCCCCTCTTCCCAGGAACCCTGGTCAGGTGTAAACAGCTGGAAAACCTTGCTGCCCGGGGTGGGGGCGGAGGAGGGCAGTGAAGATTCTGGGTGGGGCGGATGGCTCCTACTGGGCTAAGTAGCAGGCAATCACCTTGTTAAAGTTCCTCTGACCTCAGCAAGATTATTCAGCCCTTCGGCCCAACCTTCCATGTCCTTCCTGGTCCCTCCAGGACCGATCACCTCCGTTCACTCCCCTCCTGTGAGGCCCAGGGCCTCACTCTACTGTAACTGCCCTACAGCGGCCTTTTCTGGTTTCACAGACAACTCCATGAGCTCAAGGAAAAATAGTTCTCAGGGTCTTCTGTCCCCAGTGCAACAGTTCCCAGTTTTATTTCTGCCATTCTGCCAGCCGTGGGTTCCAGTGTCTCCGTTCTGAGACTCTGTGAGGTACAGGTACAGGGGCCGGCATCCTTCCAGGCTCTGAGGCATCTTGATTTTCTTCCACAGCAAGCTCTTGTCATCCGAGACTCAGAGAAGAAGATAGTTCCCGCAGAGCAGCTGGTGGTGGGGGACATCGTGGAAATTAAAGGAGGAGACCAGGTGCCTGCGGACATCAGGCTGCTGTCTTCACAGGGGTGCAGGGTGAGAGCACTGGAGGTCCCACCCTGAGGGCCGTGCTCGGCCAGGGCTTGTGTTCTGATGTCTTTCCCGATCTCAGTATAAGAGGCAGGGGACATGGTGCCTAGTTTTGAACTGTTCTCAAAATTTCTTCTAGGTGGATAACTCATCTCTCACTGGGGAATCTGAGCCCCAGCCCCGCTCCCCTGAGTTTACCCATGAAAACCCCCTGGAAACAAAGAACATCGGCTTCTATTCTACAACCTGTCTGGAAGGTAAGGCCAAGTGGCTGTCGGGGCCACATGCCCCGCCCATATCACTTCTCCCTCCTCGGGCCTGCCATCCCTGGTTGCAAAGCTTTTCCCAGAGGAAGCATGGAATTGAAGGCCTGAGGACTCGGTCTTTGTGATGTTGGGCACTAACCGCTCGTGCCAGCCGCCAGAGAGGGCCCTGAGCAGGCTCCGTCCCCCACCTGAGGACTCCTGGAACCAAACGTCTGCTTCCCTGTAGGCACGGCCACTGGCATGGTCATCAACACGGGGGACCGCACCGTCATTGGTCACATTGCCTCCTTGGCTTCAGGAGTTGGAAATGAGAAGACACCGATCGCCATTGAGATCGAGCACTTTGTTCACATCGTGGCCGGAGTGGCTGTCTCCATCGGCATCATTTTCTTCATCATCGCAGTGTCCATGAAGTATGACATCCTGGACTCCATCATCTTCCTCATTGGCATCATTGTGGCCAATGTGCCTGAGGGCCTCCTGGCCACTGTCACTGTGAGTCCATGCTGTCAGGCGGCCTGCGACCAGCCCACACTCCAGGTCTCCCCATCTTCAGAGCAGCACACCCTGCCCTGATGCCAGGGACAGCCCTGGGCCATTCTGAGTAGACCGTCTCTTAGAGAGACAAAGGCAACTGTGATATGTTTCATATTTGAATTCATCATCCTTGAAAACTTTATATTTTCAGGAGATCTATCTGTATTTGCCCCCTTAAGATAAGACAGGGCCAAAACCACCCTTTACAGGTTTTCTAGAAGGCCGATGTCTTCCCATGTTTCTTTTGAGAAAAATAAACTCCCTTTGTGATTTCTGTAACTTGGACACTTAGGTACACTGTTTGCCTTGCCTCTCTTCCCTCTCTCAGGTAGAAACCCCCCAGCCCTTTCCTGCCCTTCCTCCAGGTTCGGACCCTCCTCCCCAGTCTGTGCCATGGGGCCCCTGGGGGAGGATAAAGCAGTTCTTATTTCCAGGAAGTCGTGGAACTACACAGTCATTGGCCTGCTGTTGTTCTCACCAAAGATGGGGGAAGTTTTTGAAGTCCAGGTCTCTTCTGACTCCCAGAGAGAGTAACTGGAAGAAATTTGAGCCAAAAGAACCCTTTGAGATCTGGGAGCTTAAAAGAATCTTTAAAATATGAAGCTCTTAAAATGAAACACAGATGCTTCTCGATGGCCCAGAGCAACGCGTGAGTCCTCTTTGGCACGTACCAGTCACGGCCTCTCTCACGTATTCATGCCTGTGAGTGGCAGGAGCAGGTGGCCCGAGCGCCCTTCGGGACTATACATGAGGCCCAGCCACAGCAATGTTGCCTGTCTTTGCCACCCATGGGTCATTTTCTTCAAGGAATGAAGGGACAAGAAAAGTGTTCCATATTTAATTCAAAAAAGGATTGTGGCGTGCAGGGCTGTTAGTGGCTCATGAGCTCTGCTGCGCCAGCAGCTGTGCCTCTGTCCTAAAACCCGATCCCAGCCGACCCCAACTCTTTCTGTATTATTGAATCTGGGTCACAATGATGATTTTTCCCAAAGCTTCCTTCTTCTCTCTTGTCTAGGTGACCCTATCGCTGACAGCAAAACGGATGGCCAAGAAGAACTGCCTGGTAAAGAACCTGGAGGCGGTGGAGACTCTGGGTTCCACCTCCATCATCTGCTCAGACAAGACGGGGACTCTGACCCAGAACAGGATGACCGTGGCCCATCTGTGGTTCGACAATCAGATCTTCGTGGCCGACACTAGTGAAGACCATTCAAGTAGGTCTCTTGGAGCATTCTGTGGCCCAAAGCTGTGGACTCAGCAGTGGGGCTGAGCCGAGGGCAGTGGCCTCCGTCTGTGGCTGCCGTGTGAGTCGTGGATGGCAGGCCAGCACTGCGACAGCCACTGCTCTTTCTCTGTTTTCCAGACCAAGCCTTTGACCAAAGCTCTGGAACCTGGGCCTCCTTATCCACGATAATAGCATTGTGCAACCGAGCTGAGTTCAAGCCAGGACAGGAGAGTGTCCCCATCATGAAGGTAAAGCCTCTGCGGCGCTCAGTGTTAAACCACAGCCAGTGTTGATCACTTTCTCTGTCCTGATCAGGTGCTCGATTTAATCTCTCCAGCAGAGGAAAGTTGGTACTAGTAAGAGCAAGTCCGACCCACAAGACAAGCAGAAAGTTGTCTTTACTCTAACTAGCCTTGAGAAATCACAGAGGTGCTCAAAACATCTCAGATATTGATTTAGGTCCTTTTGAAAATTGTCTCATTCCAGGAAATGAATGTGCCTGTAAGTTACTTTCCTAACTTCTTTGCCAGCTAAGTGGATATAATCAGTTCCTTTGTTGCACAAATACCATCTGCTGACGTTTAGGATATAATCAGATGGAAATAAAGGGACTGGCTGGTCTTAGCGCATATTTCTCTTGCCTGGGATGTGGCAGCAGACGGTGCTCTGGGGGTCCTGGAAGGGGGAATACGCCACAAGCTCTCCTCCCTTCCCTCTCCTTTCCCCTTCCCTCCCTCCCTTTCTCTCATCTTCTCAGTCTCAGTGAGTCCCTGGGTCTGCGTTTTCCTGGCTTTTCGACTTGCCGTCTGTTTCCTTCATTGTGCTTTTCTGTCTCTGTCACTCAGCTTGTCACTGCTTCTTGACCAGCTGCTTCTCCATCAGTACCTTTCAAATCTTTGCGTCCGCATCTGATTTCTCATCCAGGCTCCAGCCTGGATCTCAGCTCGCTGTGTGTTTCCCCTCAGAAGTGACTCCATGTGAGCCCCTCAACAAATTGTACTTGTCACCTTCCACCTGTACCCAGCCTGGCTTCAAATCGATATCTTGTCCCAAGTTTTCTATCTTTCCATGATATACCCATTCTACTGTCATCAGGCCAAAACTTCTGGAAGTCATCTTTGACTTTCTCCTTTCCTATATCTAGTGAGTCACCAAGCCCTATCATTCTTATTTCAAAATATTCATAATTTTACATTTTTATCGTCACCAATACCCTGCATCTAAATAGCTGTACCAGCTTTTCAACTGGCCTCCCCAGTTCCAGTTGAACCTTCCTGCAGTCTTTCTCACATGCCACGAGTCTTCCTTAAACACTGCTCTTATCTTCACCTGAGTTTGCTCAAAACTTTCTGTGCTTCCCTGATTTCTGCTTCTTGCGTCTAGACTCAGCCTGCCTCTCGGTGCCCTCCCCGAGCACACCCTGCACATGCACCTGTGCTTCAGACACTCACACAGGAAGCCTCACTTCATGCCTCCATGTGTGGCATTCTGGTTTCCAGAAGGCTTTCTTCTGCTCCTCTGTCTCTTGGTAGCCTTCCCGTCTGTCAAGATCTAGTTCATAGCTGCTCTTTTTCTTGAGACCCTCCAGCCCTCCCAGAGCTCCAACTTTTTGAACGTCCCTGATGCCAGCAGGTGGCGCCTGTGTCTCACACGCTTACCATTGTCTTGAATCAGGCGCTGGGGGTCACCTGACTGTCTTGTCCCTCCAGCTGGATGGTAAGCTTGGTCAGGACACATGTTGATTCACTAAAAACAATCACAAAAGAGGCAGATTGTGTGCTGCCAATATTTTTTTATCTTTGATTTTCAGAAAGTCGTGGTTGGAGATGCCTCAGAATCTGCTCTTTTGAAATTCTCCGAGGTGGTTTTGGGTGATGTGATGGAAATTAGAAAAAGAAACCGCAAAGTAGCTGAAATCCCTTTTAACTCTACCAACAAATTTCAGGTGAGTTTTTCCTAACAACTGACAGTCTTTGTTATCACTAGAACATTTCTACCTGCATGTATCCTTTGGTCAACCCATATTTTGGAAATATCTGACTAAAAATAGTCCTCGGTTACAGGGCCTGGGCATCTGGTCAACCCAGGTCAAGTTTCCTTTGCTGGCCTCCTTCCTTTCCCTGAAGTAGGGCAGAGAAAAAAAAAGACAAAGATGTTATTTAGATCTCTGCATGTTACTTGACCACAAGAATAAAAAGGTGGAGCATGCCTGGGGATGTTGCTGTTTCTCTGTCTCCTCTACATTTCAAGGGCATGTAGAGAGGACGGACTGCAGCTCACGGGCAGCTCTGCAGTGAGGACACGCCGCTGTCAGTAATGCACTGCAGCTAATGCTCGGTCATTCCTTCCCAGCTCTCCATACACGAGACAGGCAACCCCGATGACAAGCACTTCCTCGTGGTGATGAAGGGAGCCCCGGAGAAGATCCTGGAGAGGTGCAGCACCATCATGGTCGATGGCCAGGAGAAGCCTCTGGTCAAGAGCGCGACCGAGGCCTTCCACACGGCCTACATGGAGCTGGGCGGGCTGGGCGAGCGCGTGCTGGGTGAGCTCCGGGGGCAGGGCCCGCCCGCCACTGGGGGTTTGCAGAGGACGAGGCAGGTGTCTGCGAGGAACCGATGACCTCACAGGGTAGCCTTGGTGTCCACGTGGATCATGTGGAGAAGAACATGATAAGCGGGTGGCAACATGTGACAGCGCCGAGGAGGGTGGGGTCACTTCCAGACAAGCCACGCTGGGAGACTGGGCCTGGAGTGAGGGCACTTGAAGGTGGCTGGGGGAGTCTCCACGGGAGACAGGACGACACCAGCTGAGCATGGAGGTGGGAGTGGCCAGGCGTGTGCACGCCAGGCAGGACAAGCCAGTCCGTGCTGAATGCTGCAGGGGGATGGGATGGCACAGCTGTGGGAAACAGGACTGGTGAGAGACGAGGTCATGACACGGAGGCCTCGAATATGCGGGCGAGGAGAGGGGGTTTCAGCCCACAGTCAGTGGAGAACCTGGGGGGCTTTGCAACAGGTTGACCATGTTTGCTTAGGGTAGGCCTTGGCAGCAGCGGGAGGGGAGACCCGGGTCTGCTCAGGAGGTGGCTGCCCTCAGTCAGGTGCAAGGGACGGGGATTTGGTCCGAGGCAATGGGGATGTGCGGGAAGGGTCAGGTGAAGAGACTTCATGGAGGCAGAATTGGCGATTGATTACTTACAACTGATTAGAGGGGAATAAGATTTAAAAACAAGCTTCCCATTTAGTGACTAGGAAAAAAGTGAGCCAGTACCTGGGACAGGGATGTTAGAGGGGGAAGGAGCCTGAGAAAAGCAAGCACTGGTCGGGGGAGCCTAACTGTGGCGACGGTGGCAGAAACATGGGGGACAGTGTGTTCCATTGTCACGTCACAGCCCCTATTCAGAACTGCAGAATGATGGATTCAAAGAAAAAGCAGTTCATGGTGGATGATCAGGCCCATCAAACACCATGAAAGTTCTTGCCAAGAGAGGTGGAGCCTGTGGAACGAGTGCTTCCAAAGGATATTTGAGTTTGTAAAGCAGATACGGTACATAAATGAGGTGACAGTACTTTAAGCATGCCTCAGATAACCCCCAGCACCAGGTAAACTCCTTTTCAACACGAATTCATCTCCATCTGACTGGAGTCCTCTAGGGACCTGTTTGACCTCTCCACGTCTGCTTCACTGAATTGTGTAAAGCAGTGGGCCGTGCTGGGAATCAATTCAATGTAAAAGCCGACGAGGGGGTCATGCGATCTTGGTGGTCCCACCAGACCTAGGAGTTCCTTCTACCCCGATCTGGGAGAGGCTGATGCCTCCTGAGCAGAGGATGGTTCTACCCGGCCCTTCCTCTTGTGCTTATCTTGATTAAGGACTGAACTTTGTACCACTTCCCTGCTTTGTGCAGTAACATGTGCTTCCTCTGCCTAAAGTGGCCTTCCCACCCCCAACCCTTCCTCCTTCCCCTGGAAAACATCTATGCCTCCCTCAGGGTTCAGCTCACACGTGCCCTCGCAGAAGTGTCTCCTGACTCCACAGGTAGCTGAGGAGTCGCTCTACTCTCCTGCAGTGTTTTATTATGTTTTATCTCTTTAGCTCTCAGTCCCCCATCCCCCACTAAACTGGGACATCTTTGGAAATAAAGGCCAGGCCATCTTGGTCATTATGTCTCTAGAACATAACATAGAACCTAATGAGCACACAGTAAATTATCTTTTGATGAAATATGTCTTTCCTAAAAAAAAAAAAAACCATGCTTCATGGAATTGAAGGAGTTATTCTAGTATTTTCTCATGTATTGGAAAAACAGTAAAGGACTGAGAGTGTAGCATGTTTCCCCCTTTTCTTTTGTCCTTTCTTATCCTAGTTGCATTGACTCCCAAATTCACACCCATTCCAGGTTTCTGCCATCTCTACCTGCCAGCAGATAAGTTCCCAGAAAACTACTCCTTCGATGTAGACACCATGAACTTTCCCACCTCCAACTTCTGCTTTGTGGGGCTCTTGTCAATGATCGACCCGCCTCGGTCCACCGTGCCAGACGCAGTCACCAAATGCCGGAGTGCAGGGATCAAGGTGGGAGTTACTTTCCTGACTCCACTTATTTGGTATCCCTTTCTAAGAACGTTTGTCATAGGAGATGGCCAGTGTTGAGGTCTTTTCAAGTAAATATCATAATTCCCTTTTTAAAAAAATCTCTATTTTCACTATGCTCAGATTTAAGTAACTGGCCCATAAAAGCAAAATGATTGTGTCTATGTGGAATAAGCCACAACAGTAAGTACAGTGAGAAGAGTCTCCCAGTGCCATGAAGTGGCCTTATCTTGCCCTAGACCAGGAGAGATAATAAAAGCTTCTATTACTTAATCTGGGGGGAGGTCAGCCTCCATAATCCACTTATCTTTATGATATCGAAGCCAAAATATGAATTCCATTACCACGTTAATACCATGACTGTTGGAGCAGCAAGGGGCTGCCCCGGGCAGACATCTACCGGCCCTTTCACAAATAACGTGACATCAAAAGGGGAAGGGCTTCCTGAAAGGTCGGAGGAGGAAGTGTGAGAGCTTAGGAGCAAGGGTAGACCCACAGGATTAGTGTGTCCTCAAAGACAGTGTGTCTGAGAGCCAGAGCTGCCCAGAGGGCAGCCCACGCCTGTCACTAACTACGCTCTACCAGGGCACGTGAAGAGGGTGGTGCCGAACCGTCCTGCTGTGGTCGGCTGAGCCCCTGACTGTCCGCGGGCCCTTCTTGTCTGCTCTAGGTTATTATGGTTACAGGTGATCATCCCATCACAGCCAAAGCTATCGCCAAGAGTGTAGGGATCATCTCAGCCGGCAGTGAGACCGTGGAAGACATTGCAAGCCGCCTCAACGTGGCCGTGGAGCGAGTGAACAAGCGGTAAGCTCGGCCGGCGTGTCACCACACAGGTCCTCGCCCATGGGCTGGGCTCTAAAGAGTGGGGCTATTTGGAGCAAATCACCTTTTTGCCAAACACATTCTCAGGGCACTGCTAGGCTAGTTTGATCTACAACCGACCTATCCATCCATTCACTCAAAATGTTATTGAGCACCTAATAAGCGTCAGGCCCTGTACTGATGCCATAAGATGACCCTTTGTGGATCCTTTTCAGAAATTTCAAAATCCAGTGAAGTAGATCTGAAAACCTATGTGCCCAATTTAGAGAAAAACTGAAACACAGGGTTTATATGAAATTACTTGCCTCTGATCCCTTTGGGTTTCGTGTACTCCCCCAGTGAGTATATTGGGTATTTATTCAATTGGCTTCGTAATGAGTAGTTATGTGAACTACTTTTCTTTTTTATTTGGTAGTAAACAGAATGGAAGCTTCCTAAGGAAAGATTTTTTCCTTGCTTCTCCTAATTCTTTTAATAGTGTCTGCCCTTTAATCCATCCATCTATGCATTTTATTCATCTACTAATTCTTTCAACAATTATTTATTGAGTGCTAGATACTGGAACTATCCAACCAAACAGAACAGACACTGTCCCCTCTTTTGGGGAGCTTCCCATCCAGCCAGGCAGGCAGGGGAAAAAAACCAATTGTGACGTGGTCAGCACAGTGAAGCAGACCCAGGGGTGTGGGGGCTGGACTTCGGAGGGGAGCGGCCTGGACTGTGGGTAGTTTAGATGAGGCAGACTAAGGTCTTGGGTTGAAGAGAAATGTCGTCAGCTGGGTTATACTTTCTTGCATGAAAGGAAAAAAGGGAAAGACCAGCGAAGGTCTTCTGCTTCACCCAAGCACGTATGCCTTTCAGGAACGCAGAGTTGTCAGGTAAGAAATGATTACCAGGCAACAAATTACCAAGTAAGACAACCAGCCAGAATTAAAGCATCTGGGCACAGCAACAATATTTAAAGTCGAAGGGTCTTCCAGTGCTCCTTTGTGTAAATAACATGCCCCTACAAAAACAGGTTCAGGGCTGCTTTGCTCGGTTTTTTAAAATAATAGGATTTTCATACAAGTTACCACGCTGAACAGGAGTGAAGTGGGTACTTCCGTGAAGGTCTTCATCAGCTCCAGCTTTGTGACCATGTGATAACTGCATTTTGGCAGTTGTAAGGGAAAAGGAAACCCCTCTCCTTCTCATCTCACTGTGATATTTTTTACCAGCAGTTAGGAAGACCTGTAGTTGAGTCAAGTCTTAGAATTCCAGTATTTAGCACCAAGAGGAGAAAGACCTAAAAAGCCCAAAGCTTACAAGATGTGAGGAAAAAGGCTTGTGTTTTCTATGTTCAGTGGCATTTAAGTGTGGAGTGTTAGCCCAGGGAAGCTGAAGTGAGATGCACATTCCTGGCAAGGGAGGGAGACCTGTGGAGGCCTTAGGGCAGCGGGGGCATGGGGGTCTCAGGACTGAGAGGGTCCAGTGGGCTGGAGGGGAGAGCCCAAGGGGAGGCGAAGCCCCACAGCACAGGCCCCAGCTGGCCTTGCTGACCAAGTTACAGAGTTTGGAGTCTGTTGGAAGCACAGTGGAAAGCCCCTGCAGAGTTTTAGCAGGGGTGGCACAGCAGACCTGCATAATCACAGTCCCTAGAACCTACTTTCATAGTCAGCAGACAACAGTTTTACTCAAAGAAGACCTCAATAAACTTTTCTCCCTATATAGCACATTGCACATAGGAGACACTCTATACATCTGAAATAAACGGTGGCACCAAAGGATTGTTACCTGTGTCTTTTGACATAAGGGAATTCTAGGACCCAAAACATAAACAGGCAGTTTGTTCCCTTCCTTGTATTTGTTAAGTAAAGCATGGCCCCAGAAGTACCACGTCTCAATCATTCCTGTAAGGAAAAGGCTCCTTGGCTTTTTACTCCTGTAAAGATGGTCTCATGTTTTAGCCTCAGTTTACTATCTTGAAATGGAGACCGTAGTGCCCCCGGGACTCATAACCCCTGTTATCTCACTAGAATATTAGGTGTCAAGGACATTGGGTTCCTGGTAAAGTCAAAGAGGCTTCAGCCCATGTCCTGCCCAGAACAGTGTTTCAATGAAGATCTGGCGTCGGGCCTCACCCAGTCTCTTCTGGCCGTCCTAGGGATGCTAGAGCCACTGTCGTGACTGGCATGGAGCTGAAGGACATGAGCCCGGAACAGCTGGACGAGGTCTTAACCAACTACTCGGAAATCGTCTTCGCGCGGACGTCCCCCCAGCAGAAGCTGATCATCGTGGAGGGCTGTCAGAGGCAGGTGGGTGGACGGCGGCACCAGAGGGCTGACAGGGTCCGCCATGCCCACACGGAAATGCAGAGCAGAGGTCAGGATCTCAGATCAGGCTGTGGCACCTTTTAAGCTTCTCAAGAGAGAGTTCTTGGCCCGTTCTCGTCCGCTGACCTCTGCACCGTGTCACCTGTCCTCCTCTGAGACCCCCGTGGCTGCGCCCTCCCCGAGGGTTCTCACCGGCTCTTTGTATTTCATCACAAGAGCCTGCGGCTTCTGACAGTGAAGCGTTTGCCACCGTAGTAGGTGCGGGTATAGGAAGATTTAAAAATGTGAAGACACAAGATATAAAACATCTCCGTTCACTGGCCACACATGTAGGTTTTTTTGTTATTGGATATATCTTGTTCAGAGCTCCTTGTCCTTGCTTCTGAGATTTCCTGGCTTCATCTTCTCCCCTACGTGGGCCCTACACTTCGGCTCCAGTAGTCAGTCCTCACAGCCTCAAGATGAAATGGAGGCTGTGCTGTTCCTGCCCAGCCTGACCTCTTGGGCCCGCTCGCTCCCATTTTCTCACCATGTCCCCACAGGACGCAGTTGTCGCTGTGACAGGGGATGGGGTTAATGACTCCCCAGCTCTGAAGAAGGCAGACATTGGGATTGCCATGGGGATAGCAGGTTCCGACGCAGCCAAGAACGCAGCTGACATGGTCTTGCTGGATGACAACTTTGCGTCCATAGTCACGGGGGTGGAGGAAGGTGAGTGAGGTCTCAGGTGGCCTGCCCGAGGGCTGGGGTCACTGGTGGACTAGAAGCAAGTCTTATAAGGAGAAACATCTTTGCTAGGTCGCCTGATCTTTGACAACCTGAAGAAGACTATCGCTTATACCTTGACCAAGAACATTGCTGAGCTTTGCCCCTTTCTGATCTATATCATCGCGGGGCTGCCCCTGCCCATCGGCACCATTACCATCCTGTTCATCGACTTGGGCACAGACATAGTAAGTGCACTCAGGGGACAGGGCCTGACAGCCACCCCGAGATATAAAGTTCAGGGTCATGACATTCAGGGGCCAGGAGGTGGACTCAGTCAGTGCTTCTCAAACATCGATGTGACGGGGCCTGTAGTTCTGCATTTCTAACAGGCTTCCAGGTGGTGCAGATTCTGCTGGTCCACAGAGCACACTTCAAAGCAAAGGAGAGAGACATCTGTCAAATGCTTGGAAATTAAAACCACTTTTCTCCATGTGGAGCTTTTTAAGACATGAGTCTTCATGCTCCAAAAAAACCATGCCATTGGTCAGTTTCAGCCCCTGTGCCTCCCTGTTCTCTGAGGAAGATGAAGCTATCACCCAAATCATCCCTGTGCTGCTGGGGACCCGGGGGCTAAAGTGATAACCTCACAACCACCCCTGGTTACTAAGAGCATCTGTGACCTGGAAGCCCCTCACCCAAACACAGTAAGAAGTAGCAGTCATGAAGACTTTGTAAAGCCTTGACTTACAATAACATCACCTGAACCTTCCCCTCTTCTAGTATGTATCCATTCGAAGAGAGCTTGTGAAGTCACCCACATGGCTCTGGCTTACATGGCAAAGCGGGGAAAGCCTCAGAGAGCAAGCTGAGTTCACAGCAGGAAAACGGCCCTGCAGATTGCCTCCTGCCCCCTCTCATTTTATATAGTTGATCTCTACATTTCAGGGAGACTAGAGATGTCTTTACCTTTGAGAAGAATTAAAGTTCCCATAACCTATAGATCATTTTTCAAGCCCTTTAAATCTGCTCATTTTTCTCCACACAGTGGTTTTCCACATGTGGTCCAGGCATTGCAAGGAAGCTTACTAAAAATGCAAATTTTCTGGCCACAGCCCCAACCTGAATCAAGAAATCTGGAGGTGGGGCCCAGCAATCTGTCTTTTAATAGACCCCCCAGGTGGGAGGACTGTGAGAGAACTGCTGTTCTACCACATCGCTCTGGGATGCAGTGACATGCCAAAGCAGGGAGAGTGGTACAAGAAATCCTCCCTGGAGGGAGAAAGTGTTTTGTAACGAGCATTGGTTAGAACTCCCAGCACATGGTGGAAACAAAAAGCAGACTGATCTTTAAAGCCACTGTTCTTAAGTTCCAGACAACGTGCCCCCTATTGCCTGCACCCTGTCCCCAGCACCACCGCTGCCATCCAGCAGTCCCCGCCACCCCGCCCACCCTTGCTGTGCCGCTGTGGCTGTCCTCCTCCTGCGGGTGGAGCCACACATCGCAGGGTTAGGCTTCACGGCCCTCTCCCCCTCTAGATCCCCTCCATTGCCTTGGCGTATGAGAAAGCTGAAAGTGACATCATGAACAGGAAGCCTCGCCACAAGAAGAAGGACAGGCTGGTGAACGCACCACTTGCCGTCTACTCTTACCTGCACATTGGTATGACAAGGGCATTTCTTACCTGTCACACAAGGGACCACCCCAGAGAACTTGCCCGAGTCACAAGCACAGTCGGAAAGTGTGTTCTTCCTTGCTGGGGGTGGGTCGGGATGGAGGGGGACCCAGGAGACTGAGGACGAGGCAGTTCCCTGCAGCAGTCATAGAGCCTGTGTCCACATCTCTCCTGTGCTTTCAGGCCTCATGCAAGCCCTGGGAGCGTTCGTTGTGTATTTCGTCGTGTATGCGCAGGAGGGCTTTCGACCCGGCGCTCTCATTGGCCTGCGGGAAGAATGGGAAAAGGACCACGTGAACGACTTGGAAGACAGCTACGGGCAGGAGTGGGTGTGTGACAGGCTCTGCCGCCAGCCCCTGCCTGCTCTGCCCCTCTCACTGCCCTACCCAGACTGGCGCAGGGCATGTCTCCAAACAGTATTAAGGAGACAAAGAAGTTGAAAGCTTCTTAGCTAATAGGGCTTGGGGCCTCTTGGTGACACTGGTTTGGCCTTTTTGGGATTCAACCTCACTTTTTTATATTAGCTTTGCCATTGGAATGGAAAACTGACCACTCCAACAATGCCCATAGTTGGGCCAAATAAATTTTTAGCATCTTCCCCTAGTCGCCTGGTTAAAGGGAAAAAAAATGTCTTTCTAAACACAAGGAGATGGTCCACTCTCAATCTGGGTGAGGTGGGAAGAGAGTGAAGCTGTAGAAAACTTTACTGAGTTCTCCTGAAGTTTTCCTTTGGGCTCACAGCCTCTTCCTTCTCTGCCCATTGACAGACAAACTACCAGAGGAAATACCTACAATGGACAGGCTACACGGCCTTCTTTGTTGGCATCATGGTCCAACAAATAGCAGATCTGATCATCAGGAAAACCCGGAGGAATTCCATCTTCCAGCAGGGTCTCTTCAGGTATCGCCTGTGCCTGACCTCGTGCCTCAGCCCTGGCTCTGCCAGGCTGGGATGACGAGGGTCTGTCGACTGACAGCACCTGACCTTTACCACGCATGTAATGCAATGGGCCTTTACTCCACCGGTGGCACAGTCTGCTGGGTGTGTGGTCACGAAGCCACAGGAATTCAGAATCTGTTTTCTCTTGCGTATCTTGCAGAAACAAAGTCATCTGGGTGGGGATTGCATCACAGATCGTCATTGCACTGATCCTCTCCTGTGGCCTCGGAAGTGTCAGGGCCCTGAGTTTCACCACGCTCAAGTGAGTTCATCTTCAGCAGCATTGTGAATAGAGCCAGCTCCTGTTCTGAGCCATTGCAGCCTAAATAAGCACTAGCATTCCAGGGGCCAGGGTTCTTTCCCCGAAGTCTTTCAGAAGGGGTCAAACTAACCCTGTGCTCTGTGAGTGGAGGCTGTGACCCACCAGCTTTCCAGAAGAGGAACTGGGTTTTCTAGACCTCACCGACCCACCTCCACTCTCATCCAGCAGGTTACTTCAAAGGCAGATGTTGCTTCTAGCAGTTGCGGTCCGTGTTAAATAAGGAGCTTTCCTGTTTCATGTGTGGGACCTGGTGGGTTCGTTCTTTCCAGTAAGGCAGGAATCATGAACAGGGAGGCCCCTGCCCATTGGCCAGGGCTTGAGCTGTCCCTTGGGCACGGCAGGGCTCACCTCCCTCCCTCCTGCTTGCAGGCCTCAGTACTGGTTTGTGGCAGTGCCATTCGCCATCCTGATCTGGGTGTATGACGAGGTGCGGAAGCTCTTGATCAGGCTCTACCCTGGAAGTGAGTAGTGATGCGACATGATGTACATTGTACAAATTTAAAAGGCATAAAGGGGTATTTAGTGAACAAACAAACCTCTTACTTTAAGTCTTTCAGCCACCTAGTTTCCTTTCCTAAAGGCACCTATGCCAATTTCTTGAATATTCTTCCAAAAATAGCCTATGCGTATATATACATATGCACTGTATTCTTTTCCCTCCAACACAAATTGTAGCATACTATATATACTATTCTACACCTTTCTTTTTCCATGTAATGTATCCTGGATATCATTTCATATCAGAACTGTATAGAGTGGCCTTATTCATCCTAGCAGCTGCATGGATCATCCATACTTTATTTAATCAGTTCTCAATTGATGGATTGTTTCCACTATTTTTCGGTTTCAAGTAATATACAGTGAATATTTTTTTTCCTTTTTTTTTGTCTTTTTTCGTGACCGGTAACGGGATCGCAACCCTCAGTGTTGCACCCCTACCGTGACCGGCAATGGGATCGCAACCCTCGGTGTCGCGCCCGCACCGCACTCAACCAGTGAGTGGACCAGTCTCTATATGGGATCCAACCCCTGGGCGGGAGCGCCGCCACGCTCCCAAGCGCCGCACTCAACCGAGTGCGCCACCGGGCCGGCCAGCGACATGATTTTTTGAGCTCTGTTTACCTACTTCTGCAGATTCTCCATTCCTAATTTACTTTTCTACCTCTACAGGCTGGTGGGATAAGAACATGTATTATTAAGACCACCTCGCGTCTCACGTCTCCCAAAGGCACGGGGGCGCATTCTCACTCATCCTTCAGCCACTTGCTGGGAGGTCTCTGTGCAGTGTGATGTCATCAAAATCCATCAAGAGGGAACTTGCATATAGAAAACTGCATGAGAGATATTCCCCGATGTTTTGTACTTTAAACTGAAATTTGACTATGTACATATGATTTTCATCTCTATCTCCATCTCCTTATTTTAAAATACATGAATTTCAAGGTAATGGTATGGGGGAAAATGTGTTTATATTTATATAAAGCTCACTGATGTTAAATTGTCTTGTGCAACCCACGCAGCTGCTGGGGTCTGCCTTAAGCTCTAGATAGGATTGCTCAGACCTCCATCCCACATCCTATTAAAGGCCCAATGACCTTCCTAAGATTTCTGTGAATCCCCCAAGGACGTGAATTTTCACAGTCACCTTGGTCAAAAAATGCTGACTCAGCTCAGGGTCTGCAGGAGATGGAAGTGCTGTCAGGTTTACATCACAGCAGCACGGACGATCTCAATTTTGACTCTGAGTCGTCCTTCTTGAAGGCCCTGGCAACCTTGCTGTGACAGTTTCGCTGGCTGCATCACTCCATCCCTCCTCTCAGTACCTCCCAGCCTTCCTGTGCTCCCACTCCCACATGCCCTCCACCCCCACCAAAGCTGAACTCCAAGCCCATTTTGCACATCCTAACTCAAAATGCTTAACTGATCCAGAGGGGCAGGGCTTTCATTTGTGAGGATTCCACCTCAGTACAGAGCCATGTGGTTTAGGTAGTAATATTTATTTTTTGTAGAACAGTTGCCAAGCACTCCCCAGCAATCACGTTTCATGTTTCAACTTAGGTATATTCACGTGTGACACACACATCCATGTTAACAGGCCCAGACAGGCATCGTTTTTAAGTAAAAAATGTTTTTTAAAACCAGGTCTAATTGTGGTGTTCTAATTAATTTGAATTTTTCTAGAATGCAGAGCACAGGACACAAAAAAAAATGAGATGTGGTTTCCTTCCCCTCCGCCCCCCGCAGCAATGCTCCAGGGGAAATTGTTTTACAGGCTTTCCATCAACTGCACACCCAGCACTAACTGATTTGACAGAACCTGAAAATTACACCTGGTTAAACTTTCCCCATCTAGTGGGCTGCCCCACGCCCTCCTTTATTGCAGGCATTCGCTCAAGGGCATCTGCTGCTGATGGCTCTAGATTGGCATCTCTGGGGCAGGGAAAAGGAGACTCAGAGCCACCATGACCTCAGGGGTCACATGCAGGAGCATGAAACAGAGAAGGGTGCCATCGCTGAGACTTTATGTAAACAGATTCTAACGTCCAATGTGTGTTGTGTGTGTCTACTTAAGCTAAAATAATGTTGCTGCTCTCCAGGTTTTTAATCTCTACATTCAGCCACAATTATCACAGGACTAATCTCCTATCAGTAGTTCAGTAAGCTAGAAACACTTTGCAGGGTAATTTGGGCAGGGTGGTAATGGCCTTCTCGATCCAGTCCTGACAAGGCAGCTAATGCTTTCTAGACTTCAGCTAAGAATAATTTATCCTCGCTCCTTTTCCTGCCAGACTACCCGTGTGCTCCTGGCTACAGCACTTGGCAGCTCTTGGTCTGCCAGAGCCAGCAGGACAAGGCTGCCTGTGTAGTACGAAGCTGCAAGATTTAACTTGGGGTTGGATTAAGTTCGAATGGAGTTAAGTTTGAAATAGAAGTCTCTCCACAGCAGGAATCATGTCTGAAATAACTTTCATATTTATACATACCTGCTTCTGCAAAAACTTGACACTCAAATATTTGTAAAGTGAACAAATAACTAAGGAATCCCAGAAATGAGACTGGTATATTGAGTAGCTTTATCATGGTTTTTTGTTTTATTTTATTTTATGTCATAGACAGAAAAAGACAATAAAATTTGTCTCAAAGGGAATTTTGGAGGGACTACTTAATCCACTAAGGCCTAGATACTTTTTGGAAAAATTAAAAATTTAATTTAAGGGCCGGCCCGGTGGCACAGTGGACAGTGCGCCGCTTGGGAGCGCAGCGGCACTCCCGCCGAGGGTTCGGATCCCATGTGGAGACCGGTTCCCGCTCACTGGCTGAGCACGGTGCGGGCGCAACACCGAGGGTTGCGATCCCGTTACCGGTCAATAAAAAAGACAAAAAGGAAAAAAAAATTTAATTTAAATTTATTTGGCATGACAGAATATCAGATATATAAAGATGAGGCTGGATTCATAGTCTTTACTTTTTAAGACAATTTGTTTTATTCTGATTATAAAATTGCAGCTTATTTTAGAAAATTTGGAATATATAGAAGTTAAAATCACCCTGAATCTCACTACCTAATAATATACCTAAGTGAAAGATTAGTTACTCCTTTGGTGTTTTTCTATACATATATTTATTTTTAGGCAAAATTTAAATACAAAGTTTTCCATTTTGCCTATTTATTTAACATTGGAGACATGATGTTAACAGCTGAGCAATATTCCATACTGAGAGTGCTCTAACCGTATCCCCACTGTTGGATGATTCATTTATTTCCTACTATTTATTTGCCTTAAAAGACTGCATCTTGTCCTTAAATCTTGTACCACACCTCTGATTATTTTATTTATTAATTTTTTTGGCGTCTGGCTCAGGGATCCAAGCCCATGACCCTGGTGTTATGAGACTGTGCTCTAACCAACTGAGCTAACTGGCCAGCTTGATTATCTTATAATAGATTCTCCAAAGTGGAATTAAGGAATTAAGAACATTTTTAAGGCACTTGATGCACATTGCCAAATTTATCTTCAGATAAGCTGTACCAATTTACATTCCCACCTGCAATAAGAAAGCGAATATTTATCTTGCCCGTCATTAGGATATGAGAGATCTGCCAACTGTAAGAGATTTTTATTCATTCCACAAAGATGTAGGAAGTGCTCCTGTATGGCCTGAAAACAGCCTGGAACAAGACAGATCTTGTCTTTCTTGTGCCTAAAGAAGGGGCAGAAGAAAATCTTATAAATTGTGATGAGTATTTGCAGAGACATAATGAGTCAATTATAGTATGGGGTTGGGGACGTAAGCCTACTTAAATAGGATGATCAGGAAAGTTCTTTTTGAGGAGATGATCGAGGGGCAGCCGCTGTCAAGAGCAAAGAAGATTCCGGGAGGAGGGGACAGTGTGGTATGGCAGGAACAGGGATGGCAGTGGGAAGACTGGCCCAACCGGGAGCAGGAGAAATAGGCAAGAATCTCATCGTGTAGGGTCTCAGAGACCATGTGAAGGAAGTTGGATTTCTTTAAAAATAAGCTCTTGAAGATGATTAACAAAGGTGGTGGCCTGATCGGTGGACAAGAGAAGTCACTTTGGCTTCTGTGTAGAGGATGGGAGGAGGGCCAGGAGAGCCTGTGGTGACAAGTGTGAAACCAGGTGGGAGGCGCCTGGCTCTGAGTGTGAGTGTGAGTGTGTGTGAGTGAGAGTGTGTGTGAGTGTGTGTTTGAGTGTGTGAGTGTATGTATGTGTGTGTGAGTGTGAGTGTGTGTGTTTGAGTGTGTGAGTGTATGTATGTGTGTGTGTGAGAGTGAGTGTGAGAGTGTGTGTGTGTGTGTGTGTACGCACCCCCAACTGGATAAACAGACTCCTGTGGAGGAGTTCTGTGAGGGGGGCACATGTACATAACTCAGACTTACATATGTCCAAACTCAGGCCCCTGGGAAGGCCGTGCGCCACCCTGACACCATTATCAAGACAGGGAAAGTGAAGACACTGCAGCGGGTTTCACCTCACTAGGAGACTGTAAAGACAGAACAGGAGATGTCAAAATGCACACGCACTGCACAGTTTGAGAGTCTGGAAAGTTGCCTCTGACTCTGGTAAGATCATATGGTCTCTACATTCATTCCCTCTGCCACCGTCATTCCACTAGGAGCATCCTTAAAAGGACAATGACCTAACGGCGTGATCTCGTTAACGCTCACGACCACTGCATCAGCTGTGGCGCCAGCCTTTGTTTACAGTAGGGACTCGCCAGCACTGTCTGCTCTCCACTAAGAGAAGAGGCTCACTTCAGAATCTGGAGGGGGTGAAGGGAGATTGTGCCCTTGCGCGGAAAACTATGGTTAGAGCTCACCCTGCAGGGTCATTCCATTTTCCAGCTCTTCAGGTTGTAGATAGCAGATAGCAATGCCGTACCTGTACATAGTTCTCATGACAGATATGCAGATGAAGCCGGTGCCCCGAGGGACACTCTTCCCACCCGGCCCCGGGGAAGGGCCAGCGTTCTCCCTTGGCACAGTCATCCGATGTTACCAACTCCACATAAAGTCCATTCTTTGCTCCTTTGAACCACTTATAACAGCCTCCTAGTTCTCTCGTTTACTCAATGAGCTTAAATAAAATCTTTAACATTTGTTCACTTTATATCTGTATGACAGTCATGATCTCACCTTTAAAAAAGAAAAAAAATAAAAAAGGTTTCACAATGGTAAGGGCAAGGACGCCAGCACCCCCTTGCTGGTGTCACGCAGCGCTGCCAGCCCAGGGCCATCTCCTGCCGGGCACCTGTGCCTCCCTGGTGCCACCTTCTCCGCGTCCGACCGCTTCTCTGAGCAAGTCCGCGAGCTCCCGCCCCCGACACAGCAGAGCCTAACTCGGGGGACTTTCCCTTCCTGGTCCAGAGGTTCTAAGACAAAGTTTAATGGAAATTTAAGGTAAAGGCCTGGTTAACATTAAAGGAGTAGAAGCGCCCTCGACAGCATCGTGCAGCCCAACCGAGATGTCGTGGAGGACGACGCTTCAGCACTAGGGTCTATTCGCAGTTCCAAGGGGACTCTCCCGGTCGCTTTGCTTTTTGTTTCTGTTACGTTGTGTGTTTACAAAATGGGATTTCTTCCCCTGCTTTCATTCTTTTAACAAATTAATTACCTGCCGGTCGCACTGCGCAGTGCTGGGAGACGAGCTGTCGCCCAGGGCAGGACCCGCGCAGGCGGCGAGAGGCGACAGCAGCGGGTGCCAGGAAGCGACGAGGGGGCGGGGGTCAGAGCAGTGTCCTCGTGGGCTCGGCCGCAGCAGCGGGAGGTGCCGTCCCAACCCGGGGGCTTTCTGGAGGTGGGGGCGCCGCACCAAGAGTGGGGCGGTCCCTGGCCCCTGTCCCAGGGGCAGCTGGTGGCGGCTGCAAGCGGCCCTCCCTCGCGCCACGGCCCGGCTCCCCCAGCGCCGGGGGCCCAACGGCGCCTTTACGCTCCT